TTCCACCTTGAGGTAGGCGCCATAAATAAATGGTTAAATTCCCTGTTAAAAGGCAAAGCACAGAGTCGTTTTTAATAAATAAATGGTTAAATGCCCAACTTAACAAAAATGTTAACGCGAAGCAGCTAATGTTAAAGGCCCAACTTAAAAGATCAAAGATAATCGATTCTGTTAAATAACAGATCAAACATAATCGATTCTGTTAAATAACAGACCAAAGGTAATCGATTCTGTTAAATAACAGAACAAAGGTTATCGATTCTGTTAAATACAAAGCCGTCGGAAAAACACAAATTTGAAGTTCGAATTTGTTAACTTGAGAGAGTAATTAAATGACCGACCATTTGTAGCAATATAAAGAGTTGGGCAATTTCATGTGTAGAAATAGCACACATTGAAAACATTTACACAAACACATTCTTAGGGTAAAGGAAAAAATTATGAACAGTACTTTTTTTTTAGAGACATCCAAGACAAATATTCTATTTCATAATTTTACTAAAATTTTATTTATGTATAGAAGTTATTATATATAGCTTTTATGGTAGATACACTCGCACACATTAACTAGGCATATGAATAAAAATTCTTTATTAGAACTGCTAAACATACAGCTATCTTATGTACCGGGTGATTCATAATTGGTTAAAAAAATTAAGGAAAAATAAATTCGCAAAACCAATAAAAATTTTAAAAAAAGAAAAAAAGGAAATAATGTAAATGAAAATGATTGAAAATTTAGAGAATAAAAGACCAATTGATGGTGATGACACAAAACACACACACACACATATACAAACACATGCACTCCACGCCCACTAACAGCAATAAAAATTCCTCTTTTTTTTTTCTTTTTGCTCTTTGTAGCATTTCTTTTAGTTTAACGTCATTTCTACTCCATACGTTCAGCTATCACAATATGAACTTGAGGACACTGGGCGGGATTTTGTTCGGTTACAGCGAGTTGAGCTAAACGTTGATTAAGTTCATGTGAATTGAAAGAACCAGGCGGCACCAAGCATAAATTGTCACCAAAGTATTCACCATGTGGGGCACATAATCGCCAAACCACTGGCTCATTGCTGCATATATCAGCGACTACTTCGCACGTTTCGCCAGGTCTTATAGTTGGCACTTCAATTCGACGCATCTGAGTGGTTGACATTAAATAGCAACCATTTGGCCAAGTTTCCGAACCCGTATTCTGTAGACGCCATACCATTTGTTGGTTATTTGGTTGGGATTGATGTATAATTTTCATCGATGGTAACGTTTGGCCATTGCAAAAGTCCAAGTAACAGCCTACAGCCGTTTGTAAATTCCTAAAAGAAACGAGAAAAACAAGTCAGCACTCGATGCTGTCAAATTATTTACTTTACCAGTTGCTCATCTCAAGGAAAAACCGGCCAGCGTCTTTATTCATTTGGTTATTCATTAAACTATGGAATTGTTCAATTAAATCCTCATGATCACGTGTGCCCAAACAGCTAAATTGGTGTAATAAGATAGAGTCTAAATCGATATCTGAAGCGGCACGTGCTTTATCATAATTTTGGGCAGGTGCCGGCAGTGGTATAGGTCCTTCAAGAGCCGTAGTTTGATTATCGTAAGCAACCATTGTATCACATTGCATTTGTTGACCTTGCGTTATATGTTGCGATGATAGAGGCGATTGTTGTTGTGATTGCTGATGCTGCTGTTGTTG